GCTAACATCTAGCTAGCTCTAAAGACTTTTATACAGTTTAGTGAAGGTTAAACAGGTTCTGTGGTGTTCGTGGTCAATGTTAGGTTACATCCCAGGTGTCTTCGAGGGCCAGTGTCCTGAAACGTTTCTATGTGTCCCTGCTGCAACACACCTGAATGAAATTAGTAGGTCATTAGTAAGACTATAGAACTTGACTCATGCTACAGCAGCTCATGAATGAATGAACACGGTGCAACAAAAGTACTTTTAGAAGTACATTTTTCCAAACACTTTACTTCACTTTTATCTACTTGAGTAGGATTGGGGGTTGCCACCACCATCAAAGAAGCAGCACAGGTCAGCTGATCACAGCCTGTACACAAAGAAAAATGTACCGGCACTCACAAAATAAGCTATTATGTAACTTATTACTGAGCAATTTTTTTGCCCTTGCAAAGCACCCAATTTTAGGATTTCCTCTTCCACCAAATCCTACTTTAACTCCTCTCTAACAGCTAAATATTAATCCAAGACAAACAACGATGTCCTTTTGTTTCTGTTGATTTGTACAATATTAACAAAGCTCAGTAAAGGAAAATTTTAATAATGCTCAACTGCAACAAGCACTGGAGCCAAATTCTGGTAAATGTCAGAGCAGAAAGCACTGCTCTCTATATTCAGACATAACCATTGGCATAAAACAGGATTATTTTGTAGAAACCTGGCCTAAATTGTACACACCAAATGTGTAAAAGGCTAGAAACCAGTCCAGCCTAAGCGTTCCTTATCTGTCACCTAGTGGATTATGGGAAAACCCTAATCTGCCTGCATCCCAAAGACTAAGAGAGGGTAGAACGGGATTTTTCCTGGTTTATTTTTAGTGAATCGTCATGTTGCATTTGGCAGAAATGCTACAGAAATGCTTACCTGAAGTCTGGGTAATTCTCTATCACAGGCTGCAGATGGTTCTTGATGTCTGATGTGTTTTTCTGTCCAATGATGTTGCTCAAGTCGTCTCCTACATGGTAGAGCCACTCATTATTCGACTTCTATAAAAGACAAAAAATATCAAAACATTAAAAACTGATGGAGTTGCTGCTGACCTTGAACATCCTTTGAATTTTGAATAAAACACATGACTACACAAATAAAGGGGCTACACAGCAGAGGACTTCCTGTTATGCTGCTCATTGAGAGGAATGTGACCAGCCATCAAAGGCAAATACGCCACTTATACATACACTTATACTGCTTTTAACATGAACGAAGGATCTGTGGACCAAAGATCAGGTCAGTATTTTGCATTTTAAAGCAAAAGAGGATGCATATTACGTGAAATGAAAATAAAGGACCATTTAGACATCATTCTTTGGTTTTACATTCATCAGGTCCCAAATAGCAAAGAGAAATTACAAATGCATGCCATGAAAGAGTTCAGGTCTTAGGAGGTTAAAAGTGTTTAGATTACTTGGCTAAAAATAATTAGAAAC